TGTTAAACTGATGGATATCAAATGATGTCTTTTTAAATAAAATTTCATTCGTACGCTGTTTCTTTTGAACGTGATTCAAAACATTTGATGTGCAAATTTTCCTTAAAAAAAATTACGTATTTACAAACTCTAAGAGAAACAGAAAGGTAGCTTTAATAATTGAGAAAAGAAACAAGCGACGGTCGTAATAATCGTGCAACAGAGAAACTGGCGCCGTCGAAGATGACCAGGAAAACGCCCAGTCTAGGCAAGATGAGGTTGCAAATATTTTCTGTCATCGGTCGACTCTGTGTCTTGACTCCGGAGTTTTGTCTTCGCTTTAATAAAGGTACTAGCAGCATGGGTGCCTCTTCGAAAAAAGCGTCACCTGAGCCTGGTATCGGACACTGATGGTGCGGATAGCGGCGCTTTGTGTTTTGGTCGTATAGCCCTCCAGGCCGAGAAGATCATCCCTCCGAAAAGACTTTCTCTCGCCATTTATCACATCCGCCCCAAGAACAGCAAAAAAAGTCAATCTGCAGATTTTCGGATGTCAGGAATATTTTTTTAGCAATACTTCTTACTGTTAATGGCAAAATTATGGCCATTCTTGTAGGCAATTCTCTGTAAAAAGGAAATTCTATTTTATTAGAAATTCAATTATTTCCGAGATCTCAATTACAAAACTTTTCTCACTAACTGTGGGGCTGTGATTACCTTAGAGAAGAACTTCTTTGCTAATAGAACCTGCACAAGTCTAGTAGCGTTCAGTTAACGCACCTAATTGCAAAACCCAATAAAACGCTGCTCTTCCTTAACATGCATCGAGAGCGAAAGTCGTAGCTCGTCGGGACGTAAATTCGCTCATTTGTACTTGCAACACTCGGCGCAAGATCGCTGGCGTAAAAGGTGCGCTCGCGCCATTCTGAATGTCCGGCGTCCTTTATATCGAGGCGGCAGAAAAGGTAATTTGCAGATTCCAGCGAACAGGTTTCAACCGAACACACAGTCGGGGTGCTAATTTGTCCCGACGCGGAGATAAGAATCTGGCAAAAAGCTTCAACACAAAACGAAGCAATTAAAATGATAATGCGACCAGCATCTCTCTCAAGAGGACATCTTTTATTAGTAGTCTAGCGGAACTATATGAAGACCATTGGCCAACTTCATGGATGGAATTTAAAAAATCGTAAACCAAATACTTACTCTAACAACTAAATTTATATCCGTTGTTTCAGCCAATCGACAAATCATCTTCACATTTCGTAATCTGTATCGCTTTCCAAAACTCTTCATCCCCGATCGTATCAGATCGTATATTAAGGCACAAATTACAAACAATTTTTTCAAAACTAATCTAAGTAGATAGCAATTAGATGTCATTATTTCAATCACCGAGTCTATAAATCATTTCCACGTTTCACAATCAATATATCTCTCGAAATTCTTCGTCGAATATTATCGTGTTGTGTCTATTTCTCAAAACACGACTGTTAATTCTTTCAAGAATTATCTCCCACGATTTTCTATTTTTGAACTTCTTCCAGATAGTTCAAAAGCCCATTTGCATATTCAGTCGATTCATTCCCAGGATTCTTCAATTTTCCACCGCCGATACGTCACATCCCAACTCCAAAGGGGTTGTCAGACTTCACCGTCCATCCTCTTCGTCGGTGGAAGAGAGTTCTCTAAGGTTGGCCATAAGATAGAATAACGTTTACCTGGCTGACGACGGCGGCAATGCCTTTGTCTTAGAGATGCCAGGGATAATTAAAAACCGAGTAAAACAGACAGAATACGCAGCAATAGGTAAATCCTCTTGGAAAGAGACACAGAAGAGAGAAGATCGTATCTTGAATTTACACCCATCAGCCGCCACCTTGTTCCAGCCACCTTCATCCATCTATTTGCGTGTAACCAGTCGCCGGATCCTTAGGCCTCGATGATGGTCCACGATACGCCGTTGCTCGACGCTGTAAAACCCGATGTTCGACAGGAGTTCGGCCATCGGGATACACGTAAATATCCGGCGTGGAACGTGGATCTACCGGTAGATCATCCAGCCTCCTTTCTTTTCACCTGATCGCTGGTATTTGATGGCAAACGCGTTTTTTCGTTTCTCAAGATCTTTCCCAGCGATCCCTTCCAGCAGCGTTCCTTCTTGTCTCTGGATGCTTTACGGAGTGTCGCATGAAAATTGAAATTCAAGATCTGGAAAGGGTCTCCATCTTGGCCCGTGCACCGGTGTGACAAGTTTATTAAAATAGTTGCTCGTTAAAACAGCAGATGGAAGTTCGTACCCGACGGTTTTCTTCCGTTCAAGATCAATGTATTTCAGGTTTTGTCCGGTCGGTTTAACAGGTTGTTTCGGATTCCTCGAATCGGTTAACAACTGAAACAGGGTAAAAACAAAAAAATAACTGAAGGCGAACAATTTAAAATTATAGATCACTGCTGCTATTGTACAAGTGTTTTTCCAAGTGTCAAAATTTAATATCGTTGAAGTGTAGCTA